GTCAAAATTTCCACCATGAAAGCGTTTAAAATAAAATCGCACAGTGCGTATATTACCAGACCCCTCTCCAAATGCAACATTGATATTGCGAGCTGTTTCTGCCGCGTTACTTCTGCGTCTGAACTCGTATTCAAAAATCACTCAAATTTTCGCAATACCCATCTTTCTTGTCTAAGTTGAATAACAAATACAATTGAAAGTCGATATTCAAATGTTTCACATTTTTAAAAAGAAGAACATCAGAGAAACAACGTAAAAAATGTTTCTTACGAAAACCTCAAACCATGAAGATTCTATGTCAATTCAAGGATCCTATTACAATAACATCACCCACCTACATTTTGTTGACCCATTGCGTGTTCGAAATCAATGATTATGGTTCATAATTTATATATGATTTACAATAAGGCGTCACTTTAACTCAAGAGTCCAACTTCCCGTGTTCCTGGATTGTCTGCCGCTTTATCTAAACTTCGTTTAGGAGTTATTCCTCCACTATATAAATATGTCATATATAAATATGTGGCGATTTAAGTCACAAAATGTGAGTGGTTGCAACTCTGGTGACGTCAATAAGAAGCGATATTTACAAAATCTTAAAAACAAAAATCATTTTATTTTGTGTAATCTGCAAAAAAGTTGCATTATTTCGTTTAAAATAAAGTGAAATATGTGTTATTACGCTATATGTTTTATAAGATGACCACAATTTGTAACATATTAATACCTTATTAGCAAGATTCAAAGTAAGTTGAATTAATTCTTAGTATTTTAGTAATCCAATACAAAAAATATATAGGAAAGTTGGGTTTCTTTTTTGCCTATAATGATAAAGTCATACCAATTAATACTGAAGTTAATTACCTCACAAAACAGTTTGTGGCGGTGAATTGGGATTGGAGCAATTAAGGTTTGGTCATTTAGTCGCCACACGATGATTTGGACGTGCTCTTGTAACTATTTTTTTATATAGATAGTGAACTTCCTCGTGCTCTGTCTCATTTTGAGGTATTTAAATTACAGCAAGATGGATGATAAAAAACGATACGATAAAATTTAAGACTATTTTAAGTTTGTCTGTACCCTTTATTTCTTTTTCTATTTGGATCCATATAGATGTTGATTTTGCGTAAATGTGGCCAGATATAATGAAGTAATCAATCCTAAATAATTTTGAAACGGAATTGTGCTTATCATACCATAGAAATAAAATTAAATATATATTATATGCGAAAACTGCTTCACTACGGAACATTATATATTAACTGCTTTAACCTATTCTATTACACTATTTCCTCTTTAGTTATCAAATTTCAAGGTCATTATACTGCATGGCAAATTTAAATTTACACAGCGATAAGAAATATCTATCACTTTAGAACATAACATAAAAATCAAAAATAATGTTTTAGACATTTTTTTCACCCAATTTAAACAATGTTTAAGTGAATTGGTAGTCTTATTTAGTCATATATTATAAAAAAAAAATACGAAATACTCGTAAAATGTAAAGACAATTATTTGTATTTTTATTTATTTGGCCCTATGAAGCATTTCATCATCCCATTTTAAAAGGGGGCAAATTCGAGCAAAAAATAATTTTTCATTCGTTTTTAACATAATATGCTTTATATGATACAAGTTAAATGACGGCACAGGTAGACATTGCTAACAGTCAAAACTCTATTCAAAGTTTCAAGTGACGTTAAAATACGGTTACCCAAAAAATAAATTGAAGGCCTTTCCAGTTTTTATATCATAACGCGTTTGCGATTTTTTTAAATAAACCATTTAATAACCTTTCTGATCATATAACACTTTAACAATAACTTGAAAAAATGAATAAAATATCATTATTTGAACTTGTGGAATTTTGTTTTACATAATCAACATTATTTAAAGTCACAACTTCAAATCAAAGTTTACATAGAAAAAAATATTAAATGGTCTAATTAGGTTTTTCTAGAATATGTATTAGACCTTTGGTTAGATGTGTACATTAACAAAATATTAGTAATCGAACCTTCGAAAAATCTATTTTTGAGACGGTACGCACAGTTCTGGCCCATAGGGCGTCGTGAGCGTTTCCTAAACAGCTAAGCATGAATTTTACTATGTGGATATTTTACTAGGACCACAACGCGTTGTACTGACTATACATAGACCGTATTGTTTTCCAGAGCTATATATAGTTTATTGGCATTAAACATTATCTTGCTAAATCATATCACTTAAGTTTTGGATCAAGAGACTTTATAGGTCGATAGTATTGAATTACCTTTTCAATTTGGTTTTCTTTGTTTTCTGTTATTCTATGACAGTGCAGCGCTCAACGTCGAGTTCGAGCCTGTTTTTTTGTTAACAGTATAACACTGGGTCAAAAATGACAAAAACGGAAATGTGAAAAATAAAAAATGTTAATGTTAATACTTTATACTTGTTTGTTTTACAAGGGTCTTTTACCAAGTTGATCTAAATATTTTATTATACAACAGTACTATAGATTTCTATACGTTAATGTTTTAAAAAGTAAATAGTATTATTATAAAAGCTATACTCGTTTAACTTACCGTAGGTATGATATTTTTTTCATTTTGTGCTTATAGTCATATAAAAATACTCGGAATATTTTATGCCCAACGTTTATGGATCTTTTGTTTTGTAAGTAAAGTAGCTATCTCGCCGTTCTTATTCTTGAAGACAAAGAGGATTATATGTGACTATGGCTGAATCTTTATAAAGAGCCCTTCTAAGGCTAAACAATTGGGGATGCGGATTATAGTACGCCCCTAAAGCTACAAATTAGATAATGCTTACCGACCCGGATAAAAGCTGGCATTGTTATGTTATCTTAACAAACCATATAAACAGCAATTTTATCTGAGTTATCTGTTTATGCAATCGATATAAACCTATATCCGACTATTGTAGGTAATCTGATCTGATACAATTTAGGCAAATTACATTACATAAGCAAGAGCGGTGGAATGATAAAATAAAATAATTTAAGAAATTATGTAGACAACGTAGATTCTCATTTTCTCTGTGGTTTAATAGCGTCTCGAATAATTTTCAGCTAGCTTATTCAGTGTTATATAATTACAAATGAAGTGTAAAGAGAAGCGTCTTTTTGATATTGTGATAGTTATTAAATTAATCGTTATTAAAGTCAGAAAGAAACAGAAAAATTATAATGAAAAATAAAAAAATCCTCGGTACAGTCGGAGGCATGAAATTGAATAATAAGTGACATCAGTCTCTCTTAGTGCATGTCCAACTGCATGTTATGTATGATGTTGCATATTTTTTATCTCGCTCCAGCTTTTCCAGTTAGTGGTTTTTATTATAATTTTATTTATGTATTTTTAGTTAGACAAGATACCGGGTTGGTTCAGAAAGTGAAAGAACAAAGTCGATATTTTTAAATTTTCTCAATATATAATTTTATAAATATAACTCCTTGGAATCCTTGTATTGAACTCTTTAATTCGATACCCATATTACATAACACAAACCCCTGCCCAGGGTTACGGGTAAAGACCTTAACGGCAACTACAACGGATAAAATAGGATTGTCCCTCATCTAGTGTTTCAATAGGCGTGCAAAACAACAGGCGTTTCACAGTGTCTGCAGCTATGATGAGCAATATCAGCGCCTAATAATAAAAAGACATTTAATTAGACCATCTGGTAGCGACAACTTTTACGACGGCGTCCCAGAGCTCCGTAAAACGGCTATGATTGATGGAGAGCTTCTGCGATTGCAAATTGATGTAGCAGCTTTGCATGAAACTCGTCTTTCTGGTGAAGGTAATCTGCGAGAAGAAAACTACACCTTTTTCTGGAAGGGCAAAGCTGCTGGCGGGAAACGCGAACACGGCGTCGGACTTGCAGTTCGCAATAGATTAATAAGCTAGATGAGACAGTTCTCTCCAAAACAAATACTACGAGCATCACAGCAATCCTTAAACAGAGACGACTCCGCTGGCTGGGTCACGTACAGAGAATGAATCCAGAAAGACTATCGCGTCAAGTTATGCCAGGATAAATAGCGCAAGCGAAAAGACCAATTGGACGTCCGAAGCTGAGGTTCAAGGATTCCTGTAAACGTGACATGGAGATCTTTCAAATTGCTGCTTGCGGTTGGGAAGACCTTGCCACAAGGAGACCTGAATGACACCGCACTCTAAAATTAGGGATGTCAAGGCATGACGAAGTTTGGTTACATAAACTGAAACTGAAAATACTCCGGAAAACTGAAGCTCCCTCTACCGACTCACGTTTCACTTGTAACAAATGGGGAAAGAAGTGCCGGGCTGCTATCGGATTATTCAGCTACAAAAGAAAATGTGATAAATCCACTGATTCCACACACAGCCGCTGTAACAATGTAAAAGATGGAGTGGCCAATGATGATGAATGATGACGATATTGTAGTATTTGAAAGAAAAAAAATATCATCATCAATAGCCGCCATATTTTTTTAATGTAACTTATCTAAGAACACTTGGACTACTAAGACATATTTAACGATGCCTCAATTATCTGAATACCTTCAGCGGTTCTGAAGATTTGAGGTAATAAAGATTATTACGAGTACATATATATACAAGATGCGCGCGAAAAACATAACCCCTCCAGTCGGGTAAAAATGAAGGATCATTGAGTATCTTTAGATTTACGAATCTGAGTCGAAACTTTTTTTTTTTATTTATTTATTTCCAAATGTGAATTTACTATAAGCTGTGAGGTAAAAATATGTATACTTTAAATAAATTCTTGCCAGAACCCATATTACCATATTACGAGTGCCTAAAAAACGCTTAAACTCTATGAATATGATTTCATCTATTGTAGTAGTTTTAGAAAGGTAAATTTATGGAAATGGTTAGTTTTCATAGTAAATTATTGTATACTTTTCATTTTTTGCCTAGGTTAGGATCGAAATACGATTGGGAAATATATATATTTCTTAATTTAAATTTTTCTTTTCTTTTCAGATTATGCTGGACATTATAGCTGTTGCCTGATTTACTTCAGAGACATTACCGATAAAGATGTCGAGTCCCGAGGGGGAAGCCAGCAGCGTAGATGTGGCGTATTGCGTGCCGGGTGGCCAAGTCTTCCAAAGCGTTTACATGCAGATTCATGGATATATAGCGTTGCTTATATGCTTGCTCGGCTCCGCAGCCAATTCCGTCAATATTGCCGTCCTAAGCAGGAAAGAGATGGCCTCTTCCACAAACTCCATACTTACGGGTCTCGCAGTCGCTGATCTTCTAGTAATGCTCGACTACATCCCGTTCGCACTCCATCTTTATACTAATATAGGATCGCAACAAAATAATAACTCGTATGGATGGGCTGTGTTCATTTATTTTCATTCAATCTTTAGCCAGACATTCCATACCATTTCTATCTGGCTAACAATCACCCTCGCTGTGTGGAGATTTATTGCTATAAAATTCCCACAGAAGAATAGGACATTATGTAACAAGAGGAACACAAGTATAGCAATAGGATTAGCTTACGCAGTGTGTCCAATTTTATGTCTTCCTTTCTTTTTTGTTATGAACATTCAAGAAGTGTACAGAAATAAAAATGTTAATGAGACTTTAAATGATACGCAAATAGTGAATGCATCTACGAAGAAGGGACCAGCTTATGCTGTCATGATGACAAAAAACGAAGATTTGTTAACTGCAATATTCTGGATATACAGTGTATTCATAAAACTCATACCTTGTGTAGTGTTATCTATTTTAAGTGTATTATTAATATTAAAAATGAAATCAAGTGACAGGAGAAGACAAAAGTTGCTGAAGAAATCAGTAATTACTACAAACGAGGTACATTTCACTTTTATTTAAACACATCTTTAAATTGATAAACAAGCTAAAAAACATAAATCTTTCGATTCATTATGTCTTGCTTAGGTTTGAAAACAGCTAAACAAAATAAAGTATATTGATAAGGGAGTCGACATATAATGTTTGTGAAATCCTTGAAAATAACTATCATTCCCAGATACAATGTCAATGTCCGATGTTAGTCCGAGATATTTCTTTAACATCGTTTCAATAATATACAATACTCTCTAAGAATCAAAGGAGAAATGTTATACTTGATGTCAGCGGCAGTCATAAAATGTACTCTAGTATAAACGAAAGTATAAACACATGTTGTGTTTAAGTAATATTTGAGAAACCTTTTTGATCTAGTACTTTATTTAGGGTGACAAAACACGTTTTAATGACGACAGTGGTGGGAAGCGAGGGGCAGGCCGTACAGATCGCACGACCAGGATGTTGGTGGCACTACTTGGGCTATTTCTGGCTACGGAACTGCCGCAGGCCCTCTTTGGTCTACTAACTGCTATCGCTCCGCATCTGTTCCAGATATGTTATTATGCTTTCGGTAAGTGTTAAATTATTAATAATAATTTACTTAATTGGACACGATACAGAGAGAAAACAATAAGAAATTTCACAGTATACTAATACACAAAAGGTGGCATTATTGCTAAACAGCAATCTTTTCCACGCAACCTATGGAGGAGAATAGTAAAAGAAAAAAATTGGGTATTGGGTGCAAAAGTCAGAAGAGTATTATAAGATATATTTTTTTATTAATAAAAAAACTTAGCAGCATTATAAATAAAATTTATCAGTTTTGTTAACCGCATTGACGTAATTCCTGATATCCTGATGGCTACGGTCAACTATTTATCCGATTTTAGGGCTTACTGTTGGATAACATTCAGTGAAACTTTAAATAATGTAGACATATTCTTAATAAAAAATGTTCCAAAAATCCACTCTGAGATGGGATTCGAACTCATGATCTGCGTGACTGCTCTAAGTCTTTCGCCAGTCCTGTTAGGTCCTGGGTGGTTCGAGTTCGAGTCCCGTCTCAGAGTGCCAGGGTCAAAGTGGATTTTCATGTTTTAGCTTTCATATTGGCTTTAGTGATATTTTATGCAGTCTGAAAGCTAATTTAATAAGTTGCAAGTTTTCTTAAACGAAAGTCTATGAATTTATCAGTTACGTCCTTCACTTGTTTATCAACTTGTTTTCTATTTCGAATTTCAATATATCTATTTTTAGTTAGACAGGTCTTTGAAAGGAATTTGTTTGGATTAGTGTTTTTTGTCTTTTTATTTTTTAATTTTGAGTATCAATAAACATATGAATGGAATATATATTTGGAATGAGTATTTACTTTGTTAGATCGAAGATTAGACATTACTGAGAACTCTTAAATGGGTAACGAAGATCTAAATACAAGAATAGAAATATAAAAAAGAACTAAACATCAAAAATAATTAATAGCATCAAAATTAAATATGTGTGGACAAAATGGTTATTCCTTAAAAGAACACTCTTAAAATTTATTTTAATTCTTCAAGAAATACTCTGTAAAAAATGACAAACTTAAAAAAACGTGCATCGACTTGATTTCATTCTTCCAAAATTGTCAAAATTATGTACTATTGTGTTACATTGAAGTTTATTAAATATTAGTGGTCACGTGATTTTTGAAATTTAGTAACAAATGTGTTGAGTGCCTGGTAGTTTGAGTATCTAATGTTTTTCACAGAAGCATGAATGAATGAATAATAAAATAATCATCTGTAAGCATTTTTAATATCTTTTTGTAACTTTAAGTATTATTGCAAAAAATAATAGTATTCTTCTCCACATACATTTTAATTATGCCAAATTTCATGCTCGTTCGTCTGTGCAATTTTCGTTCAAAGATTTTGCTTCACTTATTGATATAATGAAGATATAAAATTGTTACTTGTTTCGTCGTCTGAATGACCATAGGAAAGTAAATATGCTTTCCAGTCTCTTAACTATCTCTACATGTAAAATCGTAACACATCGATTAACACATTACACATAGAGAATCAAACAATTAATTAAATATAATAATTATTCTTTCTTTTAGAAAACTAATTTTATCCCCGCTCCCCGGCTGGTGTCTAATGGAAGACTAGGCCCTTTCAGAAATACATCTATAGGCTATATCACTATGATATTATCGAACTATTTTAGCTTAAAGCACGTTTTTAGATCGGGTTCCACATTGAGATTTCTGTGGGGGTAATTATTTTGCTACCCCTACAGAATTGCTGAATTTATGTTTGGGAATTATCAAATACGAATAGTTTAAATTACTAAATACAAATACAGATTTGTTGATGCAAGTATAAGTTGTTGGAAACTACAAAAATTTTGTCATTAGCAATATTGTTAGTTTGGGTGACAGTGCCAGTAGATAGAAAACAAAACGTTGTTGTCGTCGTAGCTAAATCATTATACGTTATTTAAACAAGTAATTTGTCTAGTTGTTTGTTTGATAGTCTCAATGACAGCGAGGTTCTAACTAAATAACGCAGTTTTGTAAAGAGACAATGCTGTTCATTTCAAAATTGCTAGTTCTGATTATGCCAGTTGACTCGACATAAATAAATATAAGATTATTAATATTCTTGACATGACTAAAAATATGATAATCAACAATTGTACATTTTAAATTTTCCGTCTATTTAGCCGTGAATGGAATAAAAATTAACAAAAACGACTTCTAAAAAGTAAAATAAAAGTTAACAATAATTCACGAAACTTCCATTCAAGTCCGGCGAAGATTTTGCGTAACGACAACAGAATGTGTAAGGTATAATTAAATTAAAATAAAAAGATTTCTAAAAGCAACGTCAATGATTTCTCTTTTAATCAAATTTTAGAATGAAGGATTATGAAATACTAATTGGTAGAGAGGCATACAGGTTTCGAATAAACTAGATTATTCGAAGTTAGCATAATGGTTATTTTGAAAGAAAATTTAATAAATGAATGTTATGAAATTATCAGGGCTAAAAGAACAGTATATGATATAAAAATATTAAAATGATAATGATAAAAATAATTATTTTGTGAGTTAAGTATATCATAAATTATAACTATATGTCTGTTATTTTAAATTTTGGACACTTTTGTTCTGTTATAATGAGGGCACTGGCGTGATTTTATAACCAAAAATAACTTCCCATTCCCTAATAAGTATAATTAAAACTGTAAAAAAAACATAAATTAGGGTTTTGTCGCAATGAAAAAGTGACTTTATAAAATTTTCTCGATAGAAAACATCGCAAAGTTATTCCTTAAATTTTTACCTTTTTACGATTTCATCTTTTCATTTTACTCTTTTTTCATAGGAAAAATTTATAAATAGGTATATGAGTCACTTCATAGCCGTGTTTTAAGCAACACTATGACAATAATCGTAATAATTAACGAATAATTAATTAAAAATAGTTATAACGCGCAAGTCACCATACTCTGTCCCTACTTATTTTACTGTGGGGAGTAATGACAGGGATAGACTTTTGTCTTTACTTCCAGCCTTAATCTGTTGCAAATTCATGTAGCTAATTAACCCTTCATAAGATTTTTAATGAAACTGATATAGAGCCCCTGTATAAAACCTATGTATGAAAGCCTTTATAATTCATAATAAATTTATAATTTTCTGTTGCAGACATTAAAATGGTGGATCCTTCTTTGTTTTAGTTTTGTAAGGGACTGTTATAAAGCTAAATGAGTCTTTAAAATGAGCATCTGTGCAAAATCTTTATTATATGAAATTGAAAGTAAATAAGGTATTAAAGTACTTTTTTATTTTTATGAGGTGATTGCTTAAAATTAAAGGTTTATATGACTTATTGTTCTGCTTCGTTTTTCTTCTTTATATAATCTATATATGGCATAACAGGTAAAGGTATTTACTGATTAAGAGATTAAGGTACAGGTCAAACTACTGAACGATTAGTGTTTACTCATTAATATATTATAATGTAGAGGTTTTGTAGGAAAGGATTCAAATAGAGATTTAAAAATTATGTAATCATCGCTTGCTAAACCACAAACAGGAAAGTAGTCACTTATGAGAATTTTATTTATTATTATTAACTCATTTTTTAATCAAGTGCGAGATCGAGCTCTGTTTAAATCAACATAGTTTTCCCGTTAAGAACTTTGAGTTTCCTCGATATCTTTTCTCCTCACTCGCCGTGTCCATCAAGGGCATTAGGGAATGTCCTTGATGGACACAGCGAAAAAATTAAATGGAAAGCGAGTGGAAACGGCTGTAATCCTGTTAAACTTAATTAAAATGAACTTTCTCTGATGCAAAATGGGTTTAATAAAACCTTTAAATACAAAAAAGAGCGATAGCGAAAAACAATAGAACAATGGGGGACTGCGACATATATATAAAAGAGGTATTAATATTCAACTGAATAAAAAAATATTCTTATAATTTCTAAAACTCAATGAAGGAGTCATTATAGTTTTCTTCTTCTTCTTGACGGTGGGTTGTTTCCGTTACTCGACTGCCTATTTTACGTACAACAGTGTAGGCCTCAGCCCTGCCATTCCAGTTGCTTCAAGAAGGATTGTAACTTCTTGATATCCTTGCATGGGTCCAGCAGTATTATTATTATACTCTTATTATCGACCTTATAGTACGAATTTATTATGTCAGTTCTTTTCAGATAAAACTTTGGCATTTTTACTGGTGATAGTTTATAGTAATTTGGGATAAAGAAATAATAAAATATAAAAAAAAAAAAATGTTACAAAACATTATTAACATAGTATGGGAAATATTTATCTTTTATACCTATAATAACTAACAATTAGTCACGAAGCAAGAAAAAAATTGATTGAATAAGTTATATTAAATCTAAAAAGAGAACTAAAAAAGTACAGGCTCTGTTTAAAAGTTGTTTTAATAAAAAGTAAAAATTGTACAAAAAGGGTTATAAAGCTCGCGCTTGGTAACATATACCGTCGTTGTTTTCGGAGCAGGATATTTTTCTTGTTTCCTTAACACGATTTATGTAGAGTCATGCATTCATTATTAAGTTATTAAATCTCTCTGATGTTTGAATTTCAATATGACTCTTACTTTGACCTGGTAATTGAAAATAAACTTTGCTTTCGTCGGGTAGGTTGCTTCAAGTTTTAATATGTCAAATGCAGCGCGATTTAAACAGGAAATTGCTCTTTGTTTCTGAGCGAGCTCGAAGAGGGCACTTCAGTGATTAGAATAGATTGCGATTCAAATTGAAACCGGAACTAATAGTAGCGAAGAGTTACATTACTCCATTTAGGAATCTGCATAGAAATGTTCTACTAAAATAACGTCTGAAGATCTATTGTATTTCCCGAAAACGAACATTTGTCTATTATCGAAATGCTAATGACTCCAAAGAAACGGATTTTTCGACTATTTATGATACAACAGCGGTAACAATGACTCTGATGCATAATCTAAATAATTTTGTTTTTCGCTTCATACCTGCACGCGTAGCATGACGAAATCGAGAATCTTTTGTCTATACTCAA